GCACACAGGAGTGTGAGATGTTGAGGTTCTCACAGTTTCTAGACAATGGGCTCATAGATGGCGGATAGGTTGTCATCCCTACGCGCCGGCCTCCCTTTACCCGCAAGAATATTCCTGGTACTCATTTCTGTTAGAGGCTGAGTCGACCCCAGGGCCCTAATGCGGCTGAAAGGATTAGGTAAATTGAAGAAATCCACCTCATCGGGATTCGATCCCGTGACCTTCCGGCTTGTAGCATAATGCCTCAACCAACTACGCGTTATTCCAAACATAAATGACTCTGAACAGGCGCTCAGTGCACATGGAGTACAGACTCAAACCAGAAACAAATTAATTAATTTTTAGTAATGTTATTTCCTCCACATTCAGCCTTACGGTTACAAAATTATGACAGGATTTCTTGAACTGTGTAATGAATGACGTATCTTCCGTGTCAGGCGCAATGCTCATACAGGCATGAGTCGATCATCAGATCATCGATCATCTATAACTGGATGTCAGGGAAACTTTAAAGTGGAAGTAGAATGCGTATAAATCCCGCCCATTACTTCTGTTTTCCATTACGTAAAGAACGCCTCTGTAAAGCAAATTCTGTGATCGTTGTGCCTGTTCAAAACGAAGAAATGGTGGGGAAATATTATCAAACGGAACTTGATTTATTTCATAAAACATATCTAAAGAGTAACTGGCGTCGTTTTGTAGTAAATGCATAACCAGAAATACGTAAAACTTTAGACGACAAAGGTATTTAATGTGGCTTCTGTAAAATTTTCTTCAAGTTCACAGTGCTATAAGGAATTCCCAAACTCTTTGCGTTATTTACACAATATGAAAAATATTCCGTCTTTTTGAGCGCCTTTCTACCTCGTAACTCTCCTTTTAAAATATTTTAAAATAAATGTTGATAACTGCAAAGCTAAATGAACTCCAGCATTTACAAATAACTAACTCCATGTTGCAGAATCCTTTTCAGAAACTGGTGGTTCCTCAGCTGATTGGACCACGTTCCAGATCCACTACTTCTCAGAAAATCTCGCAGCGCCGAGTATCGAACTCTGGCATATTCATAGCTATCCCAGATGATCTGAAGCCCATGTCGCCTATTTGTAACTTCAGTCATAACATGCCACACCGTTATATTCTCCAACTACAAAAAATTGATTTCAACGGAAGCTGAAATTACGGATGCAATTCCCTTGTGGCACGCTGTACGTTGAGTGCTTTTCATATATACTCGTACTACAAGATTAAATATTTTATGTCGCCTAGTTATACGTTCACATATTTCTTAGTGAAAATATCTGACTGAATATCTCTACAGGCCCTTCAAATGCTTATAAAATCCAAATACCATCGCCACAAGAGCCTCATCTTGAGTTACTACATGTTTTAAAAGCCTAAGATCAATTGTAGTATTGCTTAATATCCTCGTCTCGCTTTCAATGTTGCACTCTTTCCACCATGTTTTCTTAGCAAAATCCAGTTCTCGATTCTCAATGTATTCTGCATGTTCTGCTCATCTCACATTCACTGATTTATGAACCCTATGGGGAGAATCCCATTCTGGAACTCTCCATTGTGCAGGGATTTCAAGTCCCCTTTTATTGTTTCTCTCGAAGGACAAATATTTTGCTCAGAACATTATTATTCCTTCAAAAAGCTGCATTTTCCAGAAGAACAGGTGCTCAAGTGCACTGCATTTTAATATTTACTTACATTTTACCGTAAGTCAAGAATACAGAAGATGGTGGATTGAATAAAAGACTGTTACCTTAATTTTCTCTTACATTCACGTTCAATTTAAACGTTCGTATCGCTGACATAAAGTAAAAGGATCTCTACATAAAGATGTATATGTACATTGGAATACTGAGCACTTACCTCATATCCTGCGACGGGAATATATAGAAGAGTCCCATGCTCATGAACTCGTATTTCTGACTGGCGTCTTGTCAACCTGAAATGAAATTCTGCTTCACCTTGACAGTGAATCACCTTTATTATTGCTTATTGAATGCAAACGCCACTCATCGTAAACGCCTTCTCCGAAGAATGTTGCTGAAAGTAACACACTTTATCACTGCGTATGACAAAGAACTTCAGGAATTGGCTGCTTAAAATGTTAAAAGTTAGCGTTTCGGCAAACAATACAATACAGTGGACATTAAGTGGAAGGCTAAGGAGTGATTGGACGCAAACGAGGTGTGAAATGTTATCCAATAGGAGAGTGGCCATTGGTTTGCCGGAAACACTCTATGGAGACTAGGTGGTTAGGAAAGAAGCCTCAGAAAACTCCGTGGAGAACAGTTTCTAGCGTCTATTGTTACGGTCTGCACAGGGGACATTTAGTGGCTGAGGGGTATGTTCGGAAGAATTGGGTTGAAATCAGGATTTATTTAGTCTATGTCCATCTTCTCAGTCGAAGTTATGAGATTGTATTGTTATCCGAGTAGCTTCCTCAATGATGCGAGGAAAGTAAGTCCGAATGTTGGCTACGACCACTCTTTAGTTTATGTCGATTCCTGATTTAGTTTGAGCTATGGTGCGGCCAACCAACATGTTACATGCGCTTCCAATTGATGGCAACTGATGAAAGCTGTTTGCTTCTGAATTTCCAACTTTTATGTAACTAGCATTCAGTCTCGCAGATTATTAAATTACATATCGAGGAGCTTTTAAAATTTGATTATTTCTTCATTTTATATTTTTATGACCAAAACACAACTCATTTTAATGGCAGACATCACAGACATACCGTGTTACTTCAGTGCTGAACCTGTGAGAAGTCAAGATGGGTCCTTATAAAAAACTAACTGCAGTTCTCTCTCTGCTTGCAGATCCAATCCTATTCTATAAGCATTAAGTTAATCAGGGTCATGTCATTTCTGGTTTCGCGATCATATGATAAACCTTAATGATAAAATAATGGAAGTTCCATTTTGGCCATGGAGGTCATCTTCAGGAAATTGTTATATTCATTATTACTTGCTGTGAATTTACACATTGGCCAGCTGATTCTTGTTAAATTGTGCTGCCTGGATTAGTTATGTTGTGTAGTTAAATTGGGGTAAGGTATATAGGTATTGGATCAGATTGGTATATATGAACTTGGGAGGATGGGTATTAGGCAATAGCAATGTAAAATTATACAGGATGCAATTATACAGACTAGAATAGTCAAATTTCTAGGCACTCAACTTGCTGAATGTTCAACTGTTGGGGGCCCAGTTAGTCAAAAGTGTTGAACCTGTATGTGTATATACATGAGCAAGTAATATTCAAAGAAAAACAGCAAATTAACAACAGGTCAGAGAGGACAATCACAAGTGTGCATCATGTAATGGAAGGATTCTGTGAAGACAACAGCTCACATACCGCCAACTTCTGAAATATGAGTTTTAGGGAAATGTTCTGTTTTACTGCCATTGTAAGAAGCTTCATCTGTTCACTTGATTTCCTGATGAAGTACCAGCGCTTCATCACTTCTCACTGAAAAGAAGAAAAGGGAAAATGTGGGAGTGAATGAAAGGTAAAAATATCAGAACCAGTAAACAAAGGTTTTGGTAAGAAATATTTTTAATGATTGGCGTGGTGTTGGAATAATTTATCTAAATATAATCATTTCCACTTGGAGCAATTGCAGCAAAGGTGTCATTACACATCTGCAAGGGCATCACACATAACACAATCTTGATGTGTCTCTACCACAATTATAGATTAAAAAAGATTAATTTTCATTAATTAATATTACACATTTCAGGATACATTCCAGGATACTTATTCCTATAAATGACTGCACATAAAACAGTATCAACAAATTTCAAATTTACTTCACTCTAAAAAGAAACTTCTCATTATTTCTGCAATTTTTTGTTTCTAACCACCAGTAGAATCACACCTCATTTTGATATTACAAACAGAACTGGTTAATTTTTAGATAGAAAACTACATATTTTAATTCAAATATTTAGTTCTGATTGCGTTTGCCTATATCATTTTTCTTTTGTTTGACCAAATCAATAGAGTGGGAAGAACAAGAAATCAATTTTGCTAAGTGAATCTTTAGATACTATAGGATTCTGACGATGGTGTATAACACACAGAGATATTGAGTTTTCGGATTTTTATCCATTGTCCTGGTTTTTAAGATAACTCAATCACAGTGATTGAGGCTAGCTCTTTCTAAGGGACCCAACAGAATAGGTGTTTTCCCTCAACTGAGGATGGAAACAGAGCCAGTTTCCGAAACGTCGTGTTTTCCTTAGTTATCTTAAAAACAACGACGATGGATAAAGTCCGAAAACCCAGTATCTCTGTAAGTGAATCTTTATTAGAATTATTCTCCAAAATAAGGTGGCACGATATATAAAAATAGAAGATACTGAAATATAAAAATGCTCTGCTCTGTCCTATGTGAAAGACAATACTGAGAGTCTACCATTTCTTTTCAACATGCAACTTCTAAATTTGACGCTTATACACATTTGTCTTTTATCTGTGGAATATTTTAACAGTATTTAAGTAAATGCCTTAAACATAAAATAAAATAAATTTCTACACTGGAAGTTAGATATAAAATGCTGTAAGCAAGATTTATTTTATAATTTTTAGATAGCACATGCATAGCAATACTTGTTAAGTCACCTTCAGAATAAATGGTTCCACTAAGGGAAACTCAAATATTATCTACATAATCATTAAAGATAAAATAATGAAATTATAATCCATACACCAGTACAATGAACAGGAATCCATGTGCTTGTGCATAACAAAATTACATATAATATTGCGACAATCGAATGCCCGTGCAGTTCTGTGATGTCACCATTACTGCAATTCACTAATTCCAGTATGCATTTTAGTATAGAAAGTGCCTAGGTATACACACTCATTCACAACACAAGGACTAGCAAAATCGTCAGCGACCTTAAAAAAACAATAGTTATATACAAATTATATATATAAAACTTCTTTTAACAAGTACTCCTACGCAGCATTGCAATGTGGGAGTTTCCACTTCTAAAGCAGAACATTTTATTAAGGGTCTCTAGTCAGAGTGGCTTCTAAGACGTGTTATTCTGTCTGCAGCTGTGAGTCTTGGATCAACTATTGCTGTCTAATTTCCTCTATCAGATTAATGGCAGGTTTAAAACCTTTCTTAAATTTAGATCTCGTCATTCTTATTTACTTGTCAAAATACATATAAGTGCATAGCACACAGAATAGCCGTGGATTCAGAGCTCAAAGGTATCTCATAATCGAAGGGAAAGTCATTGATTTATACAAGGTTTCGCTTCCACAGACCTTTGTGTTTGATGGATTTTTTCTAAGTTGGAAATTGCAGCAAGTATGTATGTTCATAAGCTGAATCTTGCATAACCCAGGGAGCAGCTTTATAGTATTTATCAAAAGATTACTTCTGGTTGGTTTCAAGTCATAGATAATTGTACAAATAAACAATGTGCATTATAATTTTCTTCAAAACTGGGTGTTTTAATTGTATTACTCTGAAGTCCTCTTTCATGGATACTTGTTCAGAAGAAATTTATTTAAGTTTATTTTCACTTAAGTATATAATGAATTCATGTTAAACGTTCACCATTTCTCTCACTCATAATTAAATGGTTTCTAGACTCTGTCCATTGTTCAGTATTGTAAGAACTAGAGAACAGAATATTTTAGAAACTGGATCTATTTCCATCCTCATGTGAGAGGGGAACCACCAGTCTGTTTGGTCCCTTATGAAGAGCTAACCTCAGTCACTAGGTCCAGTACCATACAGCATGGAATATTAAGGACTTTTATTATGTCAACAAACACAATGGATTTCAGATACGTTTGCCTAAAAACTTCTCCAAAATTTGTTTGTATATCTAAGTATTCCATAATGTGTGTATGTCCACTGGGAAGCTTTAGCTTTAAAAACTACAGTATATCAGGGTCTATGCCAGGATACTTTATGCTGTTGTAAATATTGCCTCCAAATTAATACATACTTTTTGCAATTTCTACAGTTAACTCAGAATATAGTATTCAACAGATATGACAGGCACAAATACTTTGGGATTTATGGCCTCCTACCACTGCATCTCAGGCAGTGTATATATTACAGTACCAAGATGTCCAAAAACAAAGAGAGAGAGAGAAAAGGAAATAGGCAGCAACTAGTTTTTCCATTAAATCCTAAACTGAATAATGGGCCTCAAAACTGTTTTGAATAAATTCTAGGGTACTGTTTATTTAATTTAATTTCAACTAAAATTCTAGAGGGCACAATCTAACATAGAATTTGGGATCATAACTGTATATGTTTTATTAAAATGTAATCAAAGTGATGGATATAAAAATGTAATTCATATTACTTTATCAACTAAGTATGATTTCTGTGAATTCATCCTTATTTCTGTGGACTACCATTTCCAAGTATCTAAACATTTATTATAATATCATTCAACTTAGATATACCTGAAATAATACAGGGTAGAATACTTCCATTTTGCCTGAACTATTAAATGTGAGTTTGCTGCTTGTGACTGGAATAGAGAAAAAATATTGATATGATTTTATCAAAACATCTTTTGTATCCTTTCACTTTTGACTGTACAATAAGCAAGAAGATTTTAGGATATGAAAACGTTTCCATAAAAAAAACCGAAGTGACTGATAGAAGACAGACATGTGACTATTATCATAAATTTGTCTGAGTGTCAATTTTCTTACATTATTTAGAATGTTTGTCAACTGTATATAAATGCACTGAAAATTTCAATTCTACAAAATTCTGTTCTTGACTTACAATTTAGGATTATTTACAAGTTTATTCAAAAGTTTGTTCACCATTTCGGTACAGTGTTTTATACAGAAGAAACAAGAGTTACACTGTAAAGAATCTCTGTGTTTTTAACGCCATTGTTCCTACCACAAATATCTTTCTGATATACTGTTTAAGGATTTTGATCCAGAAAAGCAGACTGCCAGACATGGTACCCATAAATAACCACACTATCCATGGCATACTACTACAATTGCATTTACATCTTGAAGTCATGTTCTTTATAAAATCTGCCAATAAGTAACACAGATTTATACCGTACTTGCAATAACTGAAATAAGGTGGTACACTTCCAGTGAACTCAATTGTTATTTTGATGCATATCGAAGTGTTGGCAAAGAATATATGCAGCAGATAAATTATCTTTTGTTTCAAAGTGTTCTGAATGTGTTTCATGCGTGAGTGAACACATGTAAATTCAATTATAACAGAGCACTGAAATGGTGAGTATCGTCTATTAACAGCCCTGTAATAAGTTAATTAACTATGTTTTATGCCACAAATCATCAGTTACTTATTACATTTATCACATGTCTTTATAGACAAACAAATCAAAATTCAACAAGTGACAGTTGTCCAGAAAATTCAGTAATTTAGTAGTAAAATCCAAATTCTCAGGTTTAAAAATAAATAAAGGTTTGGCAAAAAGAAAGTTGAACATGAGGATCAAGTAAAATTAAATAATAAGTACAAACTAGTCTTCATAAATCATTTAGTAGTTTCACAGAAGCTATCGATCATATCACTTTGAGGTACCCAACATACACTCTTATAAATGGCATGTTCAAAATTATTTATTACACGAATTAAGATGCGTTTTGTTCTAATTTTGATTAACTTAATTAATAAATTTAATGAACACCAGTGCACAAAACCAATGGCCCTCTATAAGTTTTCTTACAGACCTACAAAATCGAAGACAACAGAACTGCCTATTTAAAAGGTTATGGCTGTATTGCTAAATAAGCTGTGAGAGATGTACATTATTGTTTCAAATTTCTATTATTTTCTGTCTCTTCTCACGATCTATAAATGTACAGGAAACAAGTCACAGATCACAGGAGTGAAAAACAGAGTTTTTCTTAAAATTCGTTCTATAGAAAAATCACTATTGAGAAGAAACCCTGCTTGCTTTTGGTTTTAAAAATTTGACATGTTTGAAAGTTAAAGTACACTTTTAATATTTTCAACTTCTATGTTATATTCCTGCAAATTTTCTTCAATTTACTTTATCTACTTTGCAAATGGAAATCTTTCTGTTGTGCAGAGGGTAATAGGACGAGAGATCACAATTACTTGATTAATAATAATGTATGTATAAGATCATATGAGAATAATATGTACATAAAGTTAATTTTTAACCTCTCGTTTAGCGGACACGCAGACCTCAAAAATTTATTCTCAATAATAAATAATGTCACTGATATATTTAACTGCTGGATACATAGCCAGAAAAATCTGATGAACTTATTGATCACTGTATTTCAGTCTCATAATAAACAGTCTGATAAATCAGGCTTACCAACCTGTCACTTTTAACTCTCACTGTTTTAACTGTGGAAGTGTTACTTAGATACAGACTGTATATTGGAATGAGAACTGTCTCAAAATCAATAGACAACTGCCATTTTCTTCAAGTAGATTCACAGCGATGTCAATCAGAATGGTGTAAAACAAGAGTAAAGACAGTCGATCACCATATAAAAGATGAAAGGCAATATATTTCTTTTTTGTGTGAACAGATAACTGCTCATGAAGTCATTGCACATGTTTTGATTGTATGATGACAGGTTGACGTCGCTACAGAACTAACTCACCACAGCTTCATGGCAAACTACTGGGCGTTTCAATGGTGGTGGTACTGCTGCTGTTTCTAAAGATAACACATTACAAAATTCGTCTTCAAAATGCAATGCTGACACACGTGCATTCTACAAAAGTAAACCTTAGATGACAGGGGCAGCTGTCTTACCTAGACATTTCTGCATATCGCATTACTTAAAGACCTACAGACGCGCACTACTATGACAGCACAAGATCACCGCTATGCGCAGAAAGTCTGTGCGCATCCTTTGAGCTTCGTCCCCTAGAGGATGTATTATTGCTATATCCCGAATCCGAGCCAAACGATGAGTCCTGGCTTTGAGCCTTGCCACGTCGGAACGTGGAGAAGAGCTCTTGTGGCTGCCGTGGGCTGTACCCTGAACCATGGTGATGCTGGTGCAGATGGTTCAACACCGGAACCGATTCGTACGGGTTGACTACATGACTGCGATGAGGCGGGGGCGGGACAGGGGGTTGCAGGATGTAAGGTAGCCTATGCGCAACACTGGGGACGCCTGGGGGGTGGTGATGTGGGGCGGTGTTGCTGCCACTGCGCCCCGACCTGGGTGCGCCGCCGCCATTAGTTGTCACCACGTTTGGATACAGCTGCAGCAAGGCGTCCAATAGTAGCCCCTCGTGGAACTCACCACAGTCCTGGTGACGCGCCGGCGACTGGGGCGATATCTGCTGTGGTTGGCCCTTGCTGCGCCACCCCCGGCGCCGGTCCAGACTCCGGGGTCGTCGCTGCTCAGGGGGTCCGTGCTGAGCACGGTGCTGGTGCGGCTGCAGACCACGAGCAGTTCGGTTCCGATATCCTGGAGGAAGGCTGAAGTTCCTGCCTCCCGGACCAAGACCAAGTCCAGGAAGAGGAGTGCTCATGAGGAATCTGCTACGGTCATCAGCGTCAGACGAGTCAAGGTCACGACAGAGATCGTTGCCGGTCGAGCCTTGGAGGGAGCTGGTACCGGAGTTGAGAGGGCCGCCTCTCTCCATGTCTTCCGAGAGGTGCTGCGGGTGAGGGGGCTGGGAGCCGCCTTCACACTCCCCGCCGAGGCTCAGCTCATCTTCCGCGAACTCGTCCTCACTCTCGGGGGCGGGAGCTGCACCCTCGCTGTCTGGGTCGGACTCGCCTCGGTCTCCCGACCCTGCTCATCACAACATTCGTATGCGATTAAACCCCCTGTGGCTGTTTTCGGTTTATACAAAAAGTGAAAACACAGAATGTAGGGCCTATATCAGCACACAAAAGTTTCCGAAAACAATACATTCATGTCTGTGGGTATATCCACAAAGGATGGAGTGCAATATTTAATTTGTTTCACAGTTTTCACTCTAGGTAATCTAGAGTTAACAGCATCACAAATGACTCCGGAATTTCGAGACACTGTGGTGTAGTATTGCCTTTCTTGTCAAATCAAATGAGCCCATGTAGTTCAAGATAAAACTCTCTTTATGAGTTAAGCTTAGATCTGTTAGATCAGATTTCCGGATGTCCGGTCTAAACACAGGGTAGTTATTTCATGTGGGGAATGTTCCTCAAAGTTTTACCGATAACTAATTCCATGAAGTAGAGTTTCTCTTGAGATACTAACAGCAGTTGAGCTGGTATAGATATTTCCGGTATTTTATGCAACCTGCAAGCCCTTATTCTAAGCTATATGAATCCAATCAGCACCTTGCTATTCTCTGCTTTTGAAGATTAATTTTAATACTTGCATGAATACTCGAAGTGGCCTGTTTCTTTCAGATTTTTCGACCGAAATTCTGTATGAATGTCTCATCTCTTCCATGTATGCTACATTACCTCGTCCAATTCATCTTCCTTGATTTGATCAGCCAAATAATAAGCATTTGGTGAGGGTTACAAATTACGGAGGTTTTCATTACGCAATTCCGCCAACTTCCATCTCTCCTTCCCTGAAGCATCCAGTTCGGACACCTTATGTGTATGTTATGCCCTCTACCTATCATTATATGGGTATTTTATCTCGCATTCTGGTAATAGTACATATACATACTTGGATTTCTCTGCGTTTACTTATATATGAATTCTCTAGTAGAGATTTCTTCTTTATGACCCTGTATTTGTTTTCGCTTTACGAATAATCCTATAAACTCTATCACAGAAAACTACTATTTGTATTTGCATTACCTAACTACTTAGCTCAGTTCACAGCAACACTGTCTAGAATACAAGTTACTCAAAAATACAGTATTCAGTTTCATAAGACATGGAAAAATAATTGGAACTTTGGGACACAAAATGAGGGAAGATACGCAGTTAAATTTCTACAAAACCATGGCACTGTTATGCCTGATGTATGGTGGTGAAACATGAAATCTTAGAAAAGCAGATGAAAGACAATTAGAAGAAGCAGAGATGCGATTTCTACGGTATGTAGCAGGTTATATATTGTAGCATGTAGACCCGTTGCTCAGTAATGAATCCGTAAATAACGTCCGTTGTTAGGCAACAAATTCCTAACACGCACCAATGAACTAACTGGGAATGTGTTCTCTACGCGGTCCATGCGACATCTGCGTGATGCAACAATAGAAGAACTTTTCGAAGCGGTGTTTTCTATACGGCCCGTATAGAAAGTCTAGACAAGTCTAGAGTTTGGTCAACTGGAGTGAACCAGAAGAGGAGGAGGTTGGTGTGAGAGGGTCGCTGGCTAGTAAGTGCGTGAATACTGAAGCTGAGGAAGTTACGGCGTTGCAAGCCGTTACCAGACAACGGCAAGTGAAGACACAGCAAACTGAAAAGACTTAATGCGTGCTATAGTGAAAGGCATAGCGTGTGGATTAAGTGTGTAAGAGTTCTATAAATCCAATTACCAATCCAAATCCAGTCTATAGTCACGTATACACGTGACAACTAGTGTTAGAAGTCTACAGTCATTCATACACGTGATAAGGACAGGAGCGATGAAATAAGGTCACAATTAGGGATGAGGAAACTGGGCAATTAAATACACGAAAGAGAGAGATTCTGGCTAGAATATCTGCAGAGGATGACACCAGAAAGGCCAAGAAAAAGATGACTTCACGTTTGAAGACGGAACGGGCCAACAGCTCAACTCTTGCAGATGATGACGTTTCAGAATGCGAATGCTTTGTTCATCATCCTCGGTATGTCCTCCAATACTCACCGTTAGACAGTTCCTCGTACACCGGATTGTAGAGGTCCTGTGACGTGTAAGGATCGGGCCGAGGCGCTGGGCAGATGAACACGGAAGGGTTCCCGAGCACCGGGAATCCGCTGTTATAGTTGGCCCCAGACTTTACGTCAATCATCTGGAAAAGAAAAAATGACACTAATTGGAAGGTCAATTTGTCTAGTCTTCTCAGACTTTAATAGATACATTAAGAAACCAGGCGTGTCCTTGTGAGGAGCCCACAAAAAATGTGGGACACTAGCAAGTTACAAGCTGCGAACAGCACTAACTTCACTCGATGTAAAGTGATGAAATTATGTCGACATTTCTTTAGAAAGCAAGGAGCTTCTATTATGATCACGTCCAACTAAAAACGAACAGAAAGTACGTGCCACCTTCCCGAAATGGGAATTTGTCGCATTTCCGTGTGATTGGGGGGATATAAGTGTCTATGAAACAGTGTTTATCTTTTCTTCTGGAAAGAACAGTGTGACGACGAAGTCAAATATAGCTTACCAGAAGTTTTCACGTGATAACTGACATTACCGAGCAGGTGGGCTAAAGCGTTAATTATTCTAACCTGCATCTGTGAGATGCCTGTCGTTTTCCTTAGCCCCTCCAGGAAAATGCCTGGATATAATCTTATAAGGCCGCAGCCGTTTCCTTCCTCATCCTTTCCAATTAATTATTCACTATAATTAAGTTATTTGAGCAGGTCACATTAGCCGAGCGGTCTGAAGCATGTAGTGTCTTCAGTCGCTCGGAAGCCAGGATCGTGGGTTTGAATCCCACTCAGGGCATGGATGTTTGGCGTGTGTATGCGTTTATTCTGTGTTTGTGTTGTCCTGTGTTTAGGTAGAGGCCTTGCGACGAGCTGATCACCCATCCAAGGAGTCTTACCGTCTGTAAAATGATAATGAAACTGAGAAATCAGCCCCGAAGTGGGAACGAGAGGAGAAAAAAATCAGTGTCGTATAAATTAATCTGATAAATACCTGAAATGTTAGGGGGAACGCGGTAGCGTAGTTGGTTGAGGGGCTATGCTACAAGCTGGAAGGTCGCGGGTTCAAGTCCCGATGAGATCATTGGATTTTTTTTTAATTGACCTAATCCTTCCAGCCGCACTATGGCCTATGAATCAACCTCTAACAGAAATGAGTACCAGGAATTAATTAAATAATTTTCCTGCGGAGTAAAGCGCGGTCGGAGCGTAAGGCTGACGACCTAACCGCCATCTGTGAGCCGATTGTCTAGATAATGTGGGATCCTCAACGTCTCACAACCCTATGGGCCTAAACAGCCTGGTACAGGGGTAGCTTTACTTACTTACCTGAAATATTAAAAAAAAAAAAAGAAAGAAAAGAAATAGAGGCTGAATTACCCACGTCTCAGTATCAATCCAGAACAGCAGAAGGAGAATGGAAGAAATTAGAATGAAAGAAAATTGATTTGAATTATATAAAGCAATGCTAATGTTATTTCCATCATTTATATATGATTCCGAAAGAAATGTCTATAACCCAAAAGAAGTAAAGAAATGCACACTGATAAGAGAGACGTCATCCCTAAAGGGGTTATCTGTTTGTAAATACGTTGTTCGCATGCGAAAGGAATCGAGAGAGAACAGTAAAGCATATAAAACGACGAGTTTGCACACTGACACTATGAAAGCTATCCCTGTAACAGGCCGTGAAGGCCCATAGGGTTGTGAGACGTCGAGGGTCCCACACTTTCTGTAGACAATCGGCTCACGGATGGCGATAAGGTCAAGCCCATCGAGCCGGCCGCCCTGTATCTCCCAGGAAGATTCCTGGTATTCATTTCGGTTAGAGGCTGAATCATAGATAAAACCTCATGGGGACTCGAACCCGCGATCTTCAGACTTGTAGCATAGTGCCTCAACCAAGCGCACTACCGCCATTTCAAAGCACACGGTGATAAAATTAAGCTATTATTACAGATCCTTATAATAGCTATGAGATTCTCATGGTGGCGACCATGAAGATTGCTGTGATCTGATATCCGAGAACAGTATGAATATACCCTGAAGATGGAGGAGGTACTTGCCTATGTTAGGCTGGGAAATTTCTACCAGACAACACAGCGACACATTCCAGAAGAGGGTAATCTTCACGACTTTTATTCGGGTAACAAATGATGAATTGTTCATGGAGGGATATTAATTCAGTTATATGATACACCTATCCATGTGCAGTTCCACTGAATATCAACTTAGCTGTTAAACTCCGTGACCTTCAGTCTGCAAGCGAACTATACCGACCGAGCGACCGCTGCTTGTCGGCGAAGTTAGTGTCGACTTTCGCGGATAGAGTGCAATTTAGCTGTTATCCATAATTTAATTTTTGCATCCTTTAAATAATCCATATTTTAAATACACTTTATAAATACACATAGATTGTTTACTGGAATACGCATCACTATGACCTCAAGGTTACTGTTTTCTGTTATGTAGCGCCATGAAATTTGGTATACAAGTATCGACATTTCGGGGAAGCGTGATATATCCACCTTCTGGGTATAAAAATGTACTAAGTTTTCGTTTTAAGTCCTACAAATTTGTTTTACTTAGTATGTTACAAATTCCACTCTTGTTTTTATACTTATCAATAACTACCGTTGGAGCATTCTGCACAGTGCTGCCACAGCTTAGAATTAAGTTTCACCAGCGACAAAGAGAAAATATACAGATGTCCATATTTCAAACAAATTAATAACGGAATTTCTGGTGGTCTCTACTTCTAATAATCTCCTTGCTTTGCCAGAATGTTTTACAAAACTTCCCTCGAATACTTCGGACTTATTTTTTATTGAATTAGCAATAATATTATGTTTAAAAAATACTGACATTTTCTGCGTTTTGTAATTCAATTATTTCTTTTCGAATACAAAACATCTGCAGTCTGCCTACAACTTTTCCCCTTTCGTATCACCTTAAGGATGGCTGTTCATGTAGTATTCAAACGCACTTTTCTCCAACAGATGTGCCTCAGGTCACCGTACATTTTGTATTACAAATAAACAAACTCCGTGATTTCAGTCCGTTAGCGAACCATACCGACCGAGCGACCGCCGCTTGTCGACGAAGTTTAGTGCCTCTGTGGTCTAGTGGTCAACGTTCCTGGCTACAGATCCAGAGGCCCGGGTTCGATTCCCGGCGCTACCAATTTTTTCCGGAGAAGTAGTGGGTTTGGAACGGGGTCCACTCAGCCTCGTGATGATAATTGAGGAGCTATTTCAAGGAAATAGCGGCTCCGGTCTAGAAAACCGAAATTAACGGCCGTGGGGCTTCGTTGCGCTGACCACGCGACACCCTCTATCGGCAAAAGTTGACACATTTTATATTAAAATTAACAAAAAGGTAACGCTATGTTTATTAGTTGCTAATTTATTTAATGTGTTAACTGTGGAACAAGTTTGTACTCGTATTTTCATTAAGGTTATTCTCCTTGGAGCAAATTTGCACTGCACCCAGAGGATTTGCTTATGGGTGCTACCCGACATACTACCCATAGCTTCAGTAACTGCACTCAAGTGCACGACCACATGCAAGTATTATTCAGTGTGAATGAGAAAGCATAGTACATGTACAAGCGAAGTAACTGGCGTAAAACGTAGCAAGCTATCGTTTGTAATTACGGACTTCAAGCCGAGATCTGGGTACACAGGTGAGGTAGGCACACATAACAAGAAGCCAAATTACTATTTAGTAGAACTACAAGACTTTATTAATAAACTAATTTAAAATCAAGGAGGGTGAAATGAGTCGCTCATTCGTGCATTACGAATTACAGAGATGAGAAATGCATATTAAATTCTGGTATGAAACCTTAAATGGAAGAGTTCACTTGGGAAACATAAGCGTAGATTGAAGACATTAAAATCGAAACAAGATGCAACTTGTGAACTGAACTATACTAGCTCAGGACAAGGCCCAGTAAGGGGTAAAGATAGGGGCGGGGGTTAAAACACGATTTCCCGAAAGAAAAATAATAATAAACTGAGTAAAGAATAAACTATAAGAAATATACTTATAAAAGATAATAATTATTTGAATCCTTTAGGGAGATCATAAAAGTACGAAAACAAAAAAATCCTCCGTGGCTTGCGTCCGCAAGCGAACTATACCGAACGAGCGACCGCCGCTTTTCGGCGAAGTTAGTGCCAACTTTAGCGGATAGAGGGTGTCGCGTGGTCAGCGCAAAGAATCCCCACGGCCGTTCATTTCGGTTTTATAGTCCTAAAAGTATGAGTACTCTTTAATGGTTTAAAAGTAAGTCTGTTGGGAAGTTTTCCGGTTCCCCTCCTTCGAAGAAATTATGATCGCGTCCATCGGTCCAATCTAGGGCTCTTATAAAAACGTAACGGACCTTACGGTCCCATAAATGCGGAAAAAATAATTACCAGCCGAGCCACGCAATTGAGTAATTAATTACTAAGGACTTTTTTTTGAGAGTTTCTTGTCAAATTTACTGCACTTAGGTGTATATCTATGTAAACAGTCTGCAACGACCTTTTCTTAAGTTTATACCTTAAACTGCATGTACTGTTATGTTGTTACAGAAAGGCTTTAAGGCCATGTCAATTTTTGTAATTGTGTATGTATTATTGCATAAGATGCGTATGCTGAAGAATATGTCTACTGGGACGAGACTGTTCTAGTTTGTTAGGTCGTACTTGCCGAAGTTTCGGAGTAACGTACTACATCCGTCTTCAGAGTAGACACTGAAAGATGAAAACAGTGGGCTCTTCCGAAATGTTGATACGTTCTACAAGACTACATGGGATTACAACCCAGAAGACACTAAACTTCATAATTACGGTCCACAATAGCTCAAATGTCATATATTCCAACATCACAATGGAACACACGTAATTTCTGCATCACTCGATGTGTTTACAGTTGTGACGGTTTCCATTCTACACACGTAACCTATTTCAAGCATCAGGATGAAACCGAAATGAGCGTCATTTATAAACCATCAGATCTCGCAGGTCACTGTCTGTTAATTCACTTATTCCCAGTCTTCTGACTATACCGTCTTGAAAGGGCGACACTTCTTGTCCCTACTGGGAATCGAACCCCTAATCGCCGGTCATCCACCCCGTAGCCTAGTCGCT